GAGTAAAAACATTAATTGAAAGATTTATTATTTTTGACAGCGACATCTACCAAACCGGCAAAAATCGGAACTTTTTGCGATTATGATTAAATTTTCAGTATCGTTAGAACCACGTATTATCGACAGATGCTAAAAGTTTCAAGTTGCTACTTGCATTAATTTGGAAGACGTCAATGTTTAAAGAAAAGAGTGCGGTTGGTCGATGCTCTCAGTTCGACACTTATATTCATCAATCTGGAAAAACTCAAGATTTCGGGCGTTTCTTATCAGATTTCGAGAATATTCAGAGCCAAGTGTCTTGCAAAAATGGTGAAAATTTACAGTTTTCATTTTCTGTAGTTTCAAAGTCGTGATTTTTTTAATTGCGCATTTGAGTGAAAACATTGACTGAAATACTGATATTTACTAATTTTCGGCATCATTGCAGTCAAGGTTCTTCTAAAGATTATAATAGTTTGAAATTGCTAAGTACATGTTTTAATTTGGAAGATGCCAATGTTTAAAGGAAAGAGCGCAAATGGGTGAAAAGCGCATTTGGACACTGAATATTCACTAATACGGCAAACTTCAGGATTGTTTTGAAACTTCGCTCATATTCAGAGCCAAGTGTCTTGTAAAGCTGGTGTAAATTTGCAGTTACTACTGGATTTAGTTTGGAAGATGTGAGTTTTTAAAGAGAGTGTTGGTTTGAGTGAAAACATTCATTGCCAGACTGATATTTACTAATTTTATCACCCACATTTGCCAACCTAGCAAAAATTGGACTTTTCGGCAATTTCAGTAAACTTTCAGCGTCGTTAGGGTCAAGTATTTTCAATACGTGGAAAAAGCTTCAAATTGCTACTTGCATCAATTTGGAACACTCCAACGTTTAAGAGGAAGAACCCAGTTGCCCCGGCAAAACGTCCATTTTGAGACTTATGTTCACTAAGCTGGGCAAAGCTCAGGATTTCCGGTGATTGTTATGAAACTTTCCACATATTGAGAGCGAAGTGTTTTGCGCAAATGGTGAAAATTTCCAGTTACTCGATTTCTGTATTGTCATTACGCAGCACGCACTCAATGACGTCGATCCGAGCAGATGTTATAATTTGTCTCAAAACTACGACAAAACAAAAAACAGCTCGTCACCCGAGGGCCTAGTGGGAATTCGATTTTTCGAACAATAAATAATCAGTTTTCCGAACGGAATTAATTCAAATTAATACAATTTTAAGTGATTTCTGTTCATCATTGCGGCATTACCGCCGCCAAATGATAGATAATCATACGGTAGGCCACGCTGCCTTAAAAAACCCCGTTGACAGGCACTGGTTTAATATATTAAGTGTTGTTGGTACAAATATTTACAGTGGCGTAGCCCAGAAGTTTTTTTGCGATTGAAGCATCAACCACTCAATCCATGTAAATCAAAAGAAGTAGCGCACCTTTTCCATTCCCTAATTGACTTTGCGTCATCGGCAAGTTCCTCCCAATCCTCTGCATGGGAGTAGAGAAGTTTTACGTTTGAACCACCCACAACGAAGAGCAAGGAACCTAAAGTACGCCCCTGATAGCGCTAAAGCCGTCGACAGAGCTATGTGATATATTGAGCGTTATTACTTACCGAGGAAGTTAATAAGGAGGCAGTTAAATGTGTCTTTGGACTTACAGGCGTTAAGTTGTTGTGGGATTTTCCTCCTTTGAGCCGGTATCGTTCATCATTCGGGCGATTTAACGATAAGTCGTCGTGTTTGGCTGCCGATGTATTTATTGTGGCCTTAATACCGTAAAAAATCGCCGCTGAAAGTGAGATGTTGCTCGCATTCAATCGCAATCCCATCTCTTGATCCAACATTTATTGCGGATATGAAAGATGCTTCTGTTTATCGGGCAGCCAGTCAAGTTTGCGCCATCTGAAAGTCGAAAAACCAATTCGGCTTCGAAGGACCATCAGGTAGAAATTTCGACCATTTCAACTGGCAAACCCTTCGATTTACTGCCGCAGCCCTTTAATTACCTGGTGGGGGTTGTTCTGTTTTAGGCTGCCGTAGGCTGTGAAGTTCAATTGTTCTGTAAAAGTGCGGACGAATTTATGGGGGCAATTGAAGGTGTGAGGAAGGGTTGATTTATTGCTAATTTTCTGTCCTGGAAGGGGTTTAAATGGCAGTTGCCTAATAAAATGTCTCTAGATGGCTCAGGACTGGCATATTGGGCTTGATGGCGGTACTCGTTTCTAACTGCTGTTTTAGGATTTTTAGTCATGTGGTGTCTGAGAAAGGGAATGGGAATTCCATGTCCAAACCCAAAAAGTATTCATCTTTCATCTTAATTTTTTAGCTCCTTACTGGGAAAGTTTAAAAAATGTAAATAAGTTTTTAATAGATAACCATCTGTATCTCAGTTTATATTTCAAAGAACGTCCATAGTTGCGTATTTTCAGTACTTTTGTCCGGTGTAGAGAGCTGCACCATTTCAGATGCTATGGAGAAGCGATTTGAGGAGTCCGAACTGCGGATTTATCGAATAATTCTCAATGCAGTCACCGAACATTTAACAAATCAAGAATAGTAGAATCAAAAGCCAGGCGCAACTGATGCTAATAATTAAACAACGTGAGTTGGAGGACTACTTCGGTCACCTTTCGAGAAATGATTGAGGTTCAGTTAGAAGAAGAATTTCCAGTCGAATAAATATGATAATCGCCAACATCCGGACGGATAAGGCAAAGAAAGAAGAAAAAAAAAGAAAACGAAGAAGAAGAAAAAAATAAGAGTAATAGTTAGTCACATTATCAGACTATGAAGGCTTTCACGGCCGGTCAAATCACCTTTAGAAATGTTTTCCGGGCAAGAAGTTGCAGATTAGGACAAACAGAGAAATCAGCAGCAGCGGAGCTCGCACTGCTAGACGGCCACCAAATACGTAAAGTGTAAAAATTCGATAAAGTGGACATTCTGCACCAATCTCAACGGTATTATCCGAGACTAACCAGAGAGGCCATCGAGATCTTTAAACATGACAACAATTTTAATAGGAAAGAAGAAGTAACGGCTCTTAATCCAGATTGGAAACGCGTTTTGCGGCAAGCAACGTGTGCGCCAAAAAAAAAAATTTGAAGCCCCGCCCACTCCCCACGCATGAGCTCACACGGCCGGGCCGCATAAATGCGACAGGGGATCCAGTAGTTGAACCCATATGATGTTATCTTAAGGTACACAGAGTGTTAGACACTCTAGCGATGTTAGCACTAAGGATCCATAGATTAAGTAACAGTAAGAAGTTTGTAAACTTAGCTGAAATAAATATGTTCCAAAGAGTAGTTGAACCAGTCTTAGTCGGAAAAGTACGCGAGATCACTTCGCTCGCTGCCTCATCGCCTTTGATAATGTCAACCGCAGTAGTGGACGAAACGTCAGGAAGAAATTCCCATGGACCACGGCTGCAAAGCCGGGAAAACATTTCTAAATGTGAGTTAGTCACATTCTTGGAGCTTCTTCTTCTTTCTTCGTCAAGGAGTTTCTTATCAGAAGCTCCTCAGTGGGGACAAACCATAATCTAAATCAGTCCATTGAGCAAACAACAACAACAAGACACCCAACTTCAAAAGGAAATGGTCTGGATATATAAAACCCTAGCAGTCCACGTCTTCTCCAAGTATTGAGGAGGCTATAGATAGCCCAAAAATTGCTCCTAAAAGACATAAGCATCGTTCAGACTTGATATCTGTACATCAATTCTGAGACCCAGGAGATTATGAGAGAAGAATTAGGTACTTTTTGTATAGGGGGGTCCAAAATTGGAGTGATTTAGCAGAGAACGCCTGTTTCTTGAATAGAGAGAGCAAACTTAATTCCCCATATGTTTTTATTTTACCAAATATTGCTGTTTTGTAAAAACGTCCTGAAGACTGAACTTTCTGAAGAGCAATCTATTGGTGTACCCAGTTTTTCTCTACATGTGCCCGCTCTATCGTCAAGAATTTTTTTCTTAAAGACAAACCATAGATAACCCTGCTTTAAAAAAACAGCTTGCTGATCCTTTTTCACTGATTTTTAGATGTAGATACTATTTAAAAAAATTGCGAAACCTTTAAGCATTTTTGAAAAATGTCGAAGGGAAACTTGGAACAATCCCAAGCGTCGGGCTATTATGGTTCAAATTTATCTTACAGCTCATACAGTAATGCAAGGGTTTTTTGCCTGGATTCTTTTACACGAACACTTGAAAATAAGTTTGTATAAGCAAACTTCGTTACAGTTTTAAAAATAAGTTTTTTTTTTAAGAACAGGGGCGTCTTTAAAGTCGTTGGGGCTCCGCGCCACAATGTAAACGGGGCCGAGTGCGTCTTGCCAGTAGCGTGTTTCTCGTTTGAAAGTTGCAAAAAGAGAGTCTCGACTTATGTTGCAAGTATGTTGCAGTTTGCTGGACTAAATCTCCAATTTTTTTATCAAATTTAAGAAATAAATGTCCACGATTCCTTGAAAAAGCAAATGGTATGAAACCAAATTTTGAAAAATCCCAGCAAGGGATTAAAACTAGAGGTGTAAAAATAACTGGATTTGAATAATTTTAGATCAGCCTTATATTGTTGAGGCGGATTCATTTTTTCGCAAACTTGGGTATTTCGCCTCAAAAATTTTTGTCGGACAGAATTTCCTCACGTCTTTTATTACAGATTGATAAATAGTGCCCTTATTGTGCAATAAGATTATAATTATTATTTTTCAAAAAATAATCAAGAACCATCACCTACAGGTTATCCTGCGACACACTTAGGCTCAAGCTGTAAGAGAAAATTGCAATTAGTAAAGAAATTAATTTTAAAAATTTCCTTGACGTTTCGATAGCTATTTTCTGCTATCGTTGTCGAAAGAACGTAAATGAACCTAAAAAGAGTAGATATGTTAATATGTTTGTGAAAAAAATGAAAAATTTTCTAAACAACGAAATTAAATTTTGAAGCTAATTAAAAATTGAAATTGTGTATAAATATAACCTCTTCCTAGGTTTCAGTCATTTATTTCGAATTCACGAATTATTTATTTTTGAAGAAATCTTTCGTTTAAATTTGAATACGTGTTTTTTAAGCAATATGTGGATGATTGTATAAAGGGCTTGCTAAGTAATAAAAATAAAATTCAATATACACTCGATAAATTTAATAATTTTAATAACGTGAAAATTGTCTATGTTTGACAAGGAAAATAAAAACAAATTGCGCCAAAAGCCGACTTTACAATGAAAATATTCTTACTACGAGATCCTGGTTGTCTTAAGTGTGTGTTCTTATGTAATCAGATTGCCACAATGGCTCTAAAATTTAATTTAAACTTTTTTTTAAGGCTTCGAAAACGACCTAAAAATTATTTAAGGAACAGTTTCATTTATCAGTCTGCCGAGCCGAGTCTTCAAATATATCAATCGATACTAACTTTTAGTACTTTTATCCCTGCAGATATTTTCCATTCATGTAGCTCCGATTAAAAGTGGGTTTGATGAATGACCAGCTTCGTCTATCGATTAGTGTCTTTCGCTGAAAGTGTTGAAGTGCAGTGAGTGAAATGACGATCTAGAAGGCAAGGTGGTGCAAAGCAAGTGGTTGAGATCAGTTGTGATCGACAGCAGCTGTCCCGGTGCCAAAATTAACATTCCGGGCGCACGAGACCCGATTTTGTCCCGTGCAGCCAGAAGAGCGCCGGTCCGCGAGCTACTTTCGTGAGTGTTCGGAAACCGAGTCGGCACGCGTTGCCTCAGCCTCAGCCACCCCGGACTAACCGTGAGCGAGCCGATGGTGGGGGTAGGGCCCCATAGAAAACCCATGACGAAGAGCTTCCGAAAGCATTCAGCCGCGCGCCTTTGAGCATTCGCGATCTCTCCGCCTTTACCCCTCACTTGCGTAGTGTTTCGGTACCTCAGCACTCTTGTCCTTTATGGCTCTGGCGATGACCCTCGGCCAGAAAAACATGTACAACGTGATCCAGCACTCAATGCCCCAGACCAACTGTGTGATTGTGTCGCAGGCCCAGAAACAATCGGTGATCGGCGGCAAAAGGCCGCTGGCTCCTGCCCCCGAAAGGAGTTCGGTTCTAGTGTCCACCAGCAACAACAGCAACAACAGCAACGGCAGCAGTTGCAAGAGGAAAATCCAGTTCATGCCGTATGGCACACCAAATCAGCAGCCTGCCTCAGTGGCTCGCCGCAATGCCAGAGAGAGGAATCGCGTTAAGCAGGTGAACAATGGGTTTGCTACCTTAAGGTCGCATATTCCGCAGAGTGTCGCCCAGACGCTGTCGCCGCAGCCCAACTCCAGCAGGGGCGCCTCCAAGAAGTTGAGCAAGGTGGAAACGCTGCGACTGGCCGTCGAGTACATCAGGAGTCTGCAGCAGATACTGGACGAGAACGAGGGCGATCCAGGCGACAATCAGGCCAACTTCTACGGCTCGCCCGATTCCAACCAGCTCTACCAAAGTGCCTCCTATTCAGTCCTGCTGCCCACGCCGTCCTGCTCGGAGGCATCCGCCTCCCCGACTCCGTCCCACAGCTCGGAGGGCTCGTTTTCGGCCACTTCGGCTTACACGAACGCCCTGTACCATCACACGGAAAACTACGAAAATTACGACCCCAAGAGTCCCGAGGACGAGGAGCTGCTCGATGCCATCTTCTCCTGGCAGCAGGAATAACCCGCGACCCGCCTTTAAAAGCCTCCAAAGGTCAGTATTTTTTCAGCTGAGCATTGCAAATTCGCATGGCCCCGGGCCCATTATCGGGGCATGATAATAAAATGCACCCCAATTTTTATACCTGTTCGGGCTTACCTGACGTATAATGCATTCGCTCCTACCCCTCAGTTAAATCCCGTTCATTTTTTTTGTCCGCAGACTCTTTTCAGTGCACTCTGACAGGGGTCCCGCGATATATAAAGACTAGTTTCTTATAAAGTCCGAACAATACCGTCTAAGACGTTGTGAAAAGGACACTTTTTCCCGCGCGCACTCTGCGAAACAAGTTGCTCCAACGGACTTTTTCCCTGTTTTTAACCGATTTTTTCTTGCTTTGCAGGTTGTGCAGTTTCGGCCAGTCCCACCACCACTAGCTTACAAGTCCAGTGCCTTTGCTTCATTCCAGTGAGAAGTGATATTTATATTTTCGAGAGTTTATCACTGTTTTTTCTAGTCATTGTTGTTGTACATTTTGTATATATGAAGAGTAGTTTAAGGCGTTGTGGTTCTCGAACCGACCAATCAAAATTCTCTATTTATCGCAAACAAGTACTTGCATAGTGTTATAATAGTTTACTATCGTACTGATTAATTTTAGGTTTCCTACTGTACATTCGTTGCTTAGTGTAAGTTTTAGTCTAAGTCCGCCCTATTGCCTTGCAGGTGAAATAAACTCGAGTTTACATTTTTATTTGGTTTTTGACTTTTCCCCTCATTCCTGCCAAAGACTTTTCCTTTCAATTACATCGCTTTCAGTCGACGTTTGCTGCATGCCAAAATGAATGCTTCGGGCAGCGAAGATGATGTATTATGTATGATGAAGAAGTTGAGGAATTTCAATTGTCCGCCTTGTTCTTCTTCCTGGTAATTCCTCACTTAATTTCATACAAAAACTAATGAGTTGTTTGCTGTTTTCGTCAGTTGCGTTGAACTTGCTTGCGAAGATCTTGTGAAAATACAATTACATTTAGGAAGCCGCCTAAGAGAACAGGATCTAGAATGTTCGAAAACAGAACAGCAGCCTGATGTAGACATAGAATAGAATGCAGTGGCTTTCTGAAACTCAAACTGACCCATTCCATGCATCACTGGCTGGGTACTTGAACACTCCAGTTCCATTGCATTTGGTACCCCGCCATAAAATTTCCATATGGAGGGTTGGACCAATAAAACAAGGCAGGTGCTTCGTTACAGTATCCACGCGCCAAACTTGTATATTAACTCGGTTGATCTTATCGAACTTTCTTATTAAATACAGGGGAGCAGATGTGTCTTTTTGTTTTCCCTTAGTTACATGCCATTAGAGCATATTCTAGCTATCAGTTTATAAGTCAAGTTTTCATTGGTAGTGCGTTTGAGAGCAATTTTGTTGTCACTTTTTGGGAATAAATTGCGATTTAAGATGAAAAAAGTTCTATTAAAAAAACATCAAATTGTACCTATTAGCGTGTATACCTATCCGAAATCGCCTTAGATATTTTAGTGAATTTTGCAGCATTTTTGTCTTTTAATATTGAATAACCATGTTTTTTTGACTGAAACATCCAATATCTTAGTAGAAAAAATCGTGCGTCATTGATGGACAAAAACCAATTTTAGCCCATCATTGCCTGATCAATTCCCAACAAAAACGTTATCTTCAGTTTTCTTTGTACAACGCACCATTTTCTGCTTTTCATTTTCATTTCATTCTTCACATAAACGTACTGCACGTTTTGGAATTCCCACGTGAAAACATCATGAATCAATAGGGGAGTAGAACAAAATAACCGATCTTGGCCAATAAAATCCCGAGATTTAAATCCCTTTGATTTTCATTGATTGAAATATTTTGTTGGTCAATCAGTGCCCATCGACGTCAAGTTCAATATTTTAGGATAAAAAAACTGTGCGCCCTTGATTTATCAAAAAATTAACTTTGGTGGTTCATTGCTTGTTCAATTCCAATCGAAAACGTTCTCTTGAGTTTTCCTACTAACGTACAAGGAACTATTTTTGAGTAAAACACTAAAAATCGTATTAATGTGCGTCGGGGAATCTTCAAATTTAAACTCGGAAATTAATGCACATTTTTTTAAGCTGTTTTGCTCGAAATTGTAAAAGCAATAAAAGACTGGAATAAAGTTTTCAATCAGTGGTGCACTTAAAAAAGGTTTGATTTGGCTTAACGGAGCCACTTGCTCGATATTGACATCTGCAAAATCTGTGTTTGTTTTATAAGTTTTGTAATGTTTTTTAGTAAAACTTTAACACCGCCGTATTTTTGAAACGAAAACTGTTGGGATCAGTAGTTCTCTATAGAAAATCAAAAAACTATAAGACTTTGCATTATAAATTTATCGGAAGAAAGCTTCGTTGTGGGAATACGGGAAGTTTAAATCAGGCTTGAGGGAGCATATTTTGCGAGCAAAACAAAATGTTTATTTTGTCAGTTGCGTCCTTACTCACACTTTAAGGGACTTTTTTAACGAAAAAATTTGACTCAACTGCTTTTTCGTAGAATAAAAAACCCTTTTGTTTTCTTCGTTCATTGTGAAATAAAAAGTTTCCTTGCAACTTTTGAAATAAAAGAGTAAAGCGAAATAATAAAATTACACATTCAATCGATGGTGTATCACAAAAGCAGAAATTAAAAACATTGTTTAAAATGTAGTCCATTCAGTTGTTCAATACATTTTTGTTATTATCTAACTAATGAATTTCGAGCAATTGAGTGATTTTGTGATTTTATGCTGTTTTATTGCTTTTTAAATTTTTGTGTGACTCGTACAAATAAATTGAAAACACTTTTTATAATATAAATTTGAAATTCAGAGCATTCAGAGATAATTTTTTTCTTTGAAAATGTCCATTAACGTGAGTGACAAAAATAGTTTCTTTATTGGATTCAATATCCACAAAACGTTACAGAACAATTAGTAAATGCGATTTTTTATACTCCTTGTATTTCGTTACCAAAACGTTTCTCGAATACAGTTGATTGCAAACTACTATTGCTTTCCAATTCCCTATCCTTCCTTGAAGTCTCCTCTCTGGAAACTGACTGGGTTTCTTAGACCAAAAATCACACAAATTTGGTCGAAAACTCATAAGTTGCATCTTTTCTAGAACTCTTCAGCTCAAACCAGCCCCAATTAAGCAAGCATACCGCTTTCAAAGCCAGAAAATAAAAAAAAATTGGAAAACTCAAAAATAAAGTCCTGGATTCTTTTCCATTGCTGCCGTTACTAACTTAACTGGTAGAGGATTTTCAATAAATACCCCAAGCTGTACGATAATCGAATCTTTGAACGGAAAAAACGGCAGAAAACCGGATGAAAACGACACGCAAGTGTCCTCAACGGCTGGCAGGGCCCAAATGATTTACGTTCAGATGGGCCGGCCGAATCCATTCTTCAGGACCTTTATTTACCTGCCAAAAGGGCGCCGAGTTGTACAAACTTTTGTTGGTTGTACTATGCGAATGCTTCGTAAAAAAGTTCCCCCTTTTTTGCCAGGCAACAATGTCCATGCCGTTGTACAAATCGCCGGTGATCTCGAGCCCTGCCGGCTACCTGGGCGAATTTTTATATTATCGAATCTTTCTAAAGCTAGATGGATTCCATCGAAATGCCGGGTTTACATAATTCGTATTTTTGAAATTAGTTCGGGTTAGTGACCCGATTGAATGGGATTTCGAGCCAGTTCAGTGCATGTGAAGCAGGAAAATGCTAAAAAGTGTTTGCTCACAAAATTCAATCTTCTTCATTCTTCGCAAGCCGATGAAGAATAGATGAAATGAAAATTAAACCGAATGGATAAGGGCAACTAATGGATGGGCCCTTAAAGTGGTCATGAATATGCAAAAGGGATACTAAAAGTCACTGAAATCACTTTTCGTTTTGCCCTGTTGCCTCGCTGATGCCATTTATCTGAAGAAATTATGAGAGTGATAGATTCGGTTTTTAATCTTGGGAGCGGGCTCGGTTTCGAAAAGAGATCCGAAAGATTTCCTTTGTTTATACTTGGAGATATGCGGGCTTTGTCGTAAGTCCGGCGCCCGCCGGTGTATTTCGTATTGTTTTATGGTGTGATACACATATCGGGCCGGCCAGATTACGACTTTGATTAGAACCAACCCGGATAAGCCAGGGGGTTTTTTGGGTAAATAGAGCCCCAGATTATGGTAATTATCTTAAATGGCAGTCATATGTCTGAAGTGGATTTCGGCGATAGGAACTTTGGACGACACCGAAATACACAGCGCGGGTAATCTGGGTACTTTGTTATTTTAATTGCTTCGATTTTCTGCCTGATAATGATGTGAGGGAGCTAATTGGTGCCGATATCGGCTTGGGAACCCTTCAGCTTCAAAAAAGTCTTCAGAAGATAAACCGAGCAATGATGCGACTGGACGCTAATCACTCATTTAAGAGTCGCCGCATAGTTTTGCAAATGCCATATCAATTAGGGCATTTTGTGCATTCTCCTGCCTATCCAATCAGTCGGTTTACTGCTCACTTAAAAACCAACGGAGAGTTTTTGAATTCGTTGGTTAACTGAAAATAATCAGGAGAGAAACTGCCGAGTTTTGGAAAGGATTTTTTGCTTTTCTCTAGCCACTCTTGTGTCCATCTTCGAAGGTATGATTCTGTAAAGGCCTTAAATTCCAGTTGAAATTAAGTAGTAACCAGCTGATTACTTCAAACTTTATTGGTGTGGCCATTAAAAAGGAATCAGTTTTAATTCAAATCATCAAAATAGTTTTTTGACTCTTTTGGTGTTAGAACTTACAGATAAACGCACAAAAGACTGGGAGCTCGCGATGATTGGAAAGAAGAAATGGAATTCTACTCGAAGCGTCTATCTTCTCAGAAGAAATCTGCTGATTTGCAGTTGTTTTTTGGAAAAAATTCCGTTTTCAACAGGATTGTGGCTTTTGAAAGGTCCAACAAAGTTGAGAAAACAGAAAGCTGTTTGGGTGACTTAGACCAGCGTTTTTCGGGCTTGGCAAAGTTCAATTTGATTTGCCACAGTACCTAAGTTGAATAAGAAGATTGAAGCTGAAAGCATTTTAATGGTTAAAAATTTTAAACCGCCGCGAATTTTTCGAATTTTTTACTCAAAAGCATGCGAAGCACTAGTGTGGGTACTAAATATTATATTTTTTTAAGCGAATATCAACTACCTGATCTTATTTTATCTTCATTCAAACATAAAAGCTGCAAAAGTTATGGAAAAGACTGAAAATTGACGCACAGTCCTTGGTTAAATTGCAAAAGTTGGTACTCAAGCGCGAGAAATCGTCAAAAAATTGGCATCTTTTCTTGTAAAACTGTATTGCGTCATTTGATATCGCCAAATGCATCCAAAGTGGATGAAGTTGCAAACACTCAAAAGAAAAACAGTCGCTAAATGCCGATCTGATTTAATTAAAAATTTTTTGACCACAATGCTGGAATAACAGGACATCATTTCTTACTTCGAAGACCAACTAATAGTGATGCTTATAAAAAAGGATGTATGTTAATAAAAATGATCGGAAAGAAAAGCATAAACAAATAACTTTATATGAATGCTTGCATGCTGTTGCATAAAAAATAATCAACTAAGCTTCACTGAAAAAAAAAACTCGCCAATTACGGTTCTTCGTGTGGGATTGCGACTGATAAAAACACCCTAAAAGCTAATGGAAATTCGCTTGAAATCCTG